CAACCTTTTCAGCATGTAAACCGAAAAAGACTGTTCAATTTCTTCTATCTTGGATCACACAAAGAACGGCGCAGGGTGGAGGGGAGGAAAAGAAGTTAAACGAGGCAAAAAGATTATCAAAGCTTGCTATCCAAGGAGAGGATAAGACAATCCCATGCAAGCATTGTCTTTCTGGAGATATTTTCAAAGTGTCCCAGTCCCCTCTGTTCTTAAAAAGCCTGAGTTCTGAAATAACCAAGGCCATATAATTCAGCAGCGATGTGTGCCGGACGAAAGAGGAAAATCTCTAAATCTGCAGTTTCATGCAGCTCCTCCCAGCCTCTGATTTCTGACGCTTGGCTTGCCAGATAAGATTCTGAACATCAAACATACAGTCAGGGCTCATCCTGTTAAAGCAGAGATAGGGGATGAGGCTCTCCGAGTTGAGATGCTTCTATAATGCATGTAGGCCTGTTGTAGACATGATAAAAATGGAATATTGACTATAAATTTACACACATGAACATTTCTTTACACCAGTGAACATGTTGAGCTGGACAGACAAACATAACCCATAACAGAACACCCACACCATATGTGTACATGCTATACAAAAGGACACGCACTATTCATTTATCTCAACAGCCCTAAAGCAGCAACTTCATCAAAGACAAACATCTAAAAAAAATAGGGTGCACTTTCATTCAAAGTGTTTCTTTTTCTCCTTAAACCTACTCTAAGTGTTTCATAATGAACATCCCAAGTGTTTCTGTCTGGAAAGCTGGTAATGGAATATTTATAGAATATTTCTGGGAATACTTATGGGAAACTGGTTGTAACAAGCATCTTTGTTCTACTGAAACACAATTTTTTTCAATTTCTTCTTCTTGGTGTCTTTCTTTCTGTGCCTGAGTCTCTCTGCTATGCTCCCTATGTTTCTGTCTTTGTGTCTCATCGTATAGCCAGTGTGTGTCTGTCTTCCTACCACTTTTTTTCCACTGCTTTTTCAACAACCTCAAAACCTGAGCTCAGTCAGAGCCTCAATATGAATCTCATATGTAATGCATTGCCATAACAGAAATCTCTTAGAACTCATCTATCTTACAGGCTGTTCTCTGCTCATTGTAACACCATGGCACTATGTATAATAGGCGCACTCTCACTGAAAACTGTCTTTAACAACTGCCCCTCATTGTGCGTGCCTCATGATGCCTGGAAACAGCTGTAATCTCAAGTAATTCCCACCACAGCCATTCACTCTTGCTTGCAAATGTGAATTCTTTATTTTTGTCCATTAAGCTGGCAAAACAAATGTTCAACGCTCACTATTATACGCATGTTTTTAATGCACTGCAGAGTGACAGATAACACTGGAAGAATCTGAGTGTGCTTTCTCACGTGTGCTGTAATTTGCAACTCCACCCTGACATTTATAAATTGAAGGCTCAGCATATGCTCGATGTAAACATGTCCCAGAGCGCATTACGGTTAAATGTTGCAAGATGTTTTTGAAAAAGCACAAAATACTCACATGGTTAGAAAATCTGTCTGCAGCAGAAAGACTGTCCTTAAAAATGCAATTAAAAGTTTACGTGTGCTTGCTTTGTCATACAACAGAGACAATACAACAGTTTAGTTTAACTGCTTCCAATGGATGTCTGAGACATTTCATCATATCAGTGAGACTCAGCAGCAATGTGAGTTTGTATGGTTTAGGTTTTGAATTTTGGAGTTCTAATCCAGATGTCCATGGCTAATGTGCGATGGATGAGTGAGTAATATGAGTATCCACTGTAGTTCCAAACTAAGGAACAGTGTTTATTGTAACTGTCATAAACAGGATGTGGCAAGTTTTAATAATAACAACTGCACTGCATTAAAACATCCACAGCAGTTGGGATATCCAATCTTTAAGTGATGACGTATGAACCCTGCTTCCGGATACAAACTACTCTGCATTTATTAAGGCTGTTGTGTTTTTAACCTGTTTAATGCTTTGAATTTTGTTTTATTTAATGTGAACCCCCCCCCCCCCAAAAAAAAGTCAGTGACCACTGTCGACTTCTCTCGGTTGTTATCATCAGTTTTCATTTTTAAAGCTCAGTTTTTAAAACCTTACAATGTACCTATGGCCCAGCCCATGCAGCAGTATATTAATGACTAACCTTGTATTGCAGTTGTTCTCCTGACTGAAGTTTGGTCCGTTTACAGCATCCTGCCATGCAATTACATTTGTCCCTAATCATCGGGAACTCTCAGGTTAACTTTTATTGAGTGGAAAAACCTTAGCGTTCATCCTCAAGCTTCACTGTGTTTATGTTGTGCTAACCATAGCTGTGTAGCCAGCCACCACGCAGCACATCATTATATACCAGCTAGCCCAACTTCAGTTTTCTGTCTTCATTTATGTCGAAAGTGATTACAGAGCTGCACGTTTAAATTTTTGCTGTGGCAGTTAAGCTGCTGGATTTTTGGCTTCATGACCCTCCTTCGTGGTTCGTGCACATTGAAGCTCAGTTTGCTCCCCGTGGCTTTTCAGCTGACGACATGAAATACCAACACGTGGTGGCCTTGCTGGATCCGCTGTCCAACCGTCCTGTGATAACCGTTTTCCGGCATCCCCCCACCCATGCTGTCCTTCCTAGGACGACAGCGAATTCCTCTTCAGTCACGTCTTCTTCCTGCAGATGCCGGTGCGAGCTGGCTTCGCCAACTCCCCGCTGCTGGCTGCGAAGACCCACATTATGCAATTCATTTGCACAAATGTGTTTGATCTGCTGCTTGATGGTCACTCTCAAAGTGAGAGAACTCATTGAGAATCTATAAGAAAATCAATAAGTAATCAAACTGATAACTGATATCAATAATACAATTGGAATTGCTTAATTCTTTCATTTCCCTTCCTTAGACACGACTGTGACAAAACTAGCTTAGTGCCCACACTGTGCGGCAATTATGGCATACTGTGCGTGGTTGAATGTCGCTGGAATTGTTTACATGTTGATCTGATCTGCGGTTGATTTAGCAGGGTCTGAGTATGAATTCATTGTTTCATGTAACTTATGTGTGGTTATTTATAGATATTCGTGTAATTTTCATGCAAATTAGGTCTACCCAACAAGTGGACCATAAATTCACCCTGTGGCAAGACTTCAAAAGTAGCCCAGTTCTGTGGGAAATTACGGACTTGGCAACACTGCCACTAACTGTCTTTGCTTAGTCACTTCAAAAGAGTATAAAGTGATGAATTCTTTCAGCTCTGTTTCTCTTCTTCTATTCCAGGGACATATTTGCTGCCCCATGTGAATGACACGTGAGAATTTCACACTTTTCTGGAATCTATAAAACATGAATAGGCAAATCAACCACATATATAGACAAACATATCAAGAGCTATTTACAGTCACTAATGATGAAATACTTACTTGAAAGAGTTGTGGGAAAAACTTAAACTGATCACGTTAGGTGGGAAGAACTATTCTTGAAGGTTACCTAACTTTCTCGGATAGACAGTCATGGCCTTGGACAGCATAATTAAAGCCAACGTAGGTTTAATTTACTCGGTGGGTTCAATAATTATTAAGTTAGAGAAAGCTTGGCTAAGAGGTGGGAGAGCACTAGGAACTGAGTGCACAGAAAGAACGGAGACTTTGGAGGAGAGGGCTAAGTGGTGATGCAAAGAGAAAAAGAAAGAAAGAACAGGACGTGAAAAGAGAGTTGTCCTGGAGGCAGAGCTAGTAAATGAGTCATTGGAGTGAATCTGCTATCAGGTCTATTCTAACAGTGCTACAAGTGAATGGATGCCTTAAAGGTTAGGCATAAAATGATTTCTCATTTTGCTGCGATATACCCCCTGGTAGACATTAACGCTTTGGTTATGGACTTGAGTGTAAAAGCTCCTGAGGTAACAGGCTGCTTGTCTGCCATAAATATTTCTGGCTATATGTATGTATATTGTTATTTGAATGAGGCTGCTTTTATGGAGATGAGTATATTTTTGTGCAAATAGTTAAAGTTGATGTGATGCTGTGTGTCATTTCTATAGCCAGGTAGTCATTCTGTCTACACAAAGCCAACTCCCCTGGTACCTCACATCACAGCTGGGACTCTGTTCAGCTCCGATCCTCCTGACCCATTTCAGTGCACAGATACACACACACACGCTCGACCACACACACATATATACACCAACTGACAGTTGCGAACAGACCCATGCATTCATACAAAGCAAAGCAGCCACACGCAAAACACTTACATATGTGCCAAGCTTCATTTCTGCTCTACTGAGTCTGTTTGTGTCACAACTTTGCAGATGTTTAAGCCATGGGGACATGAACACTAAATTTGCAGAAATTCTCTTCCCGGTTGTTTGGTTGGAACAGCGGGTTTTGAAATGATAATGAATCTGTGGGCCAGGATTTCCCACATGGCATCATGTCTAGAGTGGAAACAGAAGAAATAGAATAAGGCAGCACTAGAAAGCAGTAGCAAAAGATTTTTTTTATTATTACCAAATGTAAAAGTCAAATTCTGGCTGAACTAGGTAGATGAAGCAGTCGGCGTTTCTAAGAATAATAAAATGTTAAAAAAGTGCGAATCTGAGGTTAATGTTACTGCTGCAGAGTGCAGATGGCTCCCCATACAGTTAATTTAGAGTTCAAAGTCTTGCTCTATCAGCCAATAGCTGATGAGCACAAGCAATATAAAAATAAACTAAATATACATCCAAAAGAAATCATGGATAAAATGCTGACTCACATTGCGAAAAAAACAAAACACAGATATGAGTTATATTGCATTCCAACACATGCAATTTCAGATGTTGATTGCAGATGTAATAAACAGCTATAATAACTTCATTACACACACTTATGTCACACAGAGGTTAAAAGAAGAATCACGCACAAAGTGGGAGAGGCAGTGTATAGGTCAGATTCCAAAACATTATAAATACACAGCTAAAACTGACCATCCAATCTCAGTGTGTGATCATAAGTGTGGAAAAAGAAATATCAGAGAACATGAAGACAGAAGGTGCGATGCTGCATCCACTGGCATCGGGAGATGGCCCTGAGCCTGAGCTGATGTGTATCTTTGGGACTGGGGACTTAGGACGCTCTCTGGGCCTGTGTCTGCTCCAATCCGGCTACAGGGTGGTGTATGGCAGCCGCAGACCTCACAGCTGTGGCCCCTTGCCTGAGGGAGCTCAGGTATGACTTATGGCATTATATTGAACTGAATAGAGTTTTTAAATTTAGAAACATTACTGTACGTATCTCAAACATGTTCTGTCCTTTGTTTTGCGGAGGTGATGACCCATGAAGAATCAGCCCGGTCTGCCAAGATGATCTTCGTTTGTGTTCACAGAGAACACTATGAATTTCTGGAGAAGATGGCACCTCAACTTGAAAGAAAGGTTAGTCCAAAGTTAAAATTGGAATAAAAAAGATACACCTTTAAATCTTTAAACACCTTTAAACTCTTTTTTTTCTCTTTCTTTCTGTGAATAAACATTTCTACATTTTCATTTGCCAGCTGGCCTGGAAACAATATTTAACATATTGTGTACACATAGGTTATTACATTTGTTCCCACATGTGAAACATGATAGCAAGAGTTTAAAAATGACATTTTCACGGAATTATCATGGCGATTTGTCAGCAATAATTCATGTTATTTGAGAGAACATATAAATATTAACTGCTGTGTCATTCATATATCAAGGAAATAATTTTTAGACACATGTTATCTAAATCATGGGTCTGACAATCAATGACTGATTAATTGTAACTCATTTTGATAACAGCATTACCTAATGCAAGTTCATTATGTTAAAGGTCTAACTGGTGTTAGCACAGCTGATTAAAGAAGCAATACATTGGTCAATGTGAGCCTGCGTAGCTTCAATTACAGTCTCAAAATACTTTAAACATATTCACACTGGATAAAGCAAAGTGCCGCCGTAAGACAGGAGAGAGGACGTCTGAAAATGGGCTTTTGTATGCGTATGTAGGTAATCCTTGACAGTGATTTGTGAAATTTTTTTTTTAAATAAAATAATCTCAAGATCTCGGAAGTTTATTACTTCGCTTGAACATCTTCTGACACCTCTGCACTCAGTTGGATTGTGGAACAGTTTGTCCTCAAGACATTAACCACAACATTTTCCTCAGTAAATGTTCTGAATTGTTAAGAAAACATTAAATATTAGCATTACTTTAGTTCTGTTACAGATCAAAAGACATGAAAAAACGATTACTTTTAGGTTTGCATTGTTTTATCAATTAAATCCTGCTAAGATGATTATGCTACTTTGTAACTTTTATTTGCAGCATGAATTAAGGATTAAATCTTAACAACAACTAATGCCATGCAACAGCACAGTGTAATACTACTACTACTAATAATAACTATTCTCATTTTAAAACAATGGCCAAGTTACATGTGGGAATATTACATTTTAGCCCATGATAAACAAAAATAACTCAGGAAATTAAAAACACAAGCAGATCAAAATGGCCCATTATTTAGAAATATTTGAAGTGGAAACAAAAACTTTTAAGGAAAGCAAATCAGAGACAAAATTATTAGTAATTTATTATTTGTTGTTGTGACGTTATCTGAGGACGGTTTAGTTGGCTCTAGACCTTACAGTATTACAGAAAGACACTGAACAAATCCCTCTTGAGGAAGAACCTCTGATTGAACCAAATTCAGGCTGAGGGGCTGTCTGTCTGAAACGGTCGGGGGTGACAGGAGAGTGGAGAGAAAAAAAAAATGAGCACTTGAAAAATAACAAACAGTGAGCAGGTTTGCAGGGACAGTAACCACAGGTCAAAACCAAGCAGCTATGGATCGAGACACATCTCCAGAAAGGTACGGAGAGAGGAGAAAGCATAAAATACAGGAGAAAGAACCAGAGGCTACTGACATGTAATCATGGGAAATGAATACACAGAGTGAGGAGGGTGGACAAGAGGTGCTACACAAAAACACAACGTTATCCAGTCACACCTTATGTGTGTGTAATGTCAGTGTTTTCTGCTGTTCACATCTTAACGGAATCATTCACATGATTTTTGTAAAAGGATGTGCATGAAATAAATGACAAATATTCTAACTACTTTATTTTTTCTCTCTACTCAATCAATGCTGATGGATTTATTTCAAGGTGCTGGTGGACCTCAGTAACAACTTGAAGAAAGACATGTACATGGAAGCAAATGCCGTCTACTTGCAGAGGTAACATACGCCCTCAAAAGTATGGAAAAGAAAAAGAGTCTCTCATTCATGAATACACTGTGCATGCAAGTCATTCCTTCTGTTCACCAAGGGAGCCTAACCTTTTTTTGTTCAATCTTTATTTGTTGTCAAAGATATCTTTTTCTTTCATTGCAACTGTGCCTATTACAAATCTATGTGAGAATGACATTGTTGTGGAAAAATGCTCCTAAAGACCTCTTGGAAAATGAGAGATCAAAACTCTAAACTGAATCCTAAAGAAGTGAAACAAATCAAGTGGTTGCAGCTCCCTTGACAGGTGAGCCTGCTGTGTATCCATTCGGTTGAAGTGGAAACATTGATTCTCATCGTTTTGAGACTTTTTCTTTCCCCTGGGCGTCTTTGTAAAAGAAACAATAGCAACTAAAGTCCTTTCTGTGTGTTCTCTAGGCTGGTCCCTAAAGCAGCCGTTGTTAAAGGCCTTAACACCCTGTCCACCTGGGCCCTGCAGAATGGACTTCTAGCAGGAAGACAGGTAAGACAAGAGTAGAAGTAAGGGATCTGTTAAAAAGATGTCAGCTGGCTTAAGACAAAACAAAGTCAGGAAGCTTCTGAGCCTTAAGGAAGACTATGGCTGACAAGAATAAAGATACAAACAAAGCAGTAACAGAAAGAGGAGATTACTAAATTGATCTGATCACCATGAGAAATGTTTGACTTCAAACTACAAAATAACATCTGCTTTCAGCATTTTCTGTTTTACGATGGGAAAAAATGTCTCTTGAACTGCTTAATAACAGGAGACTGCTTCAACATACGCCGTGCAAAATTTAGGGAAGCAATTGATTTCAGTTTTGTTGCTGCTGATTATTGATTTTGCTGTCTTACCATAACAATGCGAGAGAAAATGAGGGCAGCGCTTGTAAAAATACACAAACAAGCACACTTCATGATCTTACAAAGTTGAAAGACCAGTGTTTATTGCAGCTTCCGTTTCACGGCTACAAAGAGAAACACAAACATGCTCGAACCTCTGGAGACCAAACCTGAATCTGCCTCTTCAACACAAACAAGCCCCCATACGTGTGCACGTAAACACACACACACACACACACACACACACACACACACACACACACACACACACACACACACACACACACACACACACACACACACACACACAAACCACTGCAGTGTTCTATTTCTTTGAAAACAGGTAGCTGTGAGAGAAAAGAGGGTGTGTGTGTTTGAATGTGTGTTTCTTTATCAGCGCATATGTAGTTACAGTATATATCCACACACACTCATGCTTTTAAGTGTGTGCTATTCCCCAGCCAGCAATTTGATTAGATCCACAGCGGGGCTGTGGCTCTGTCACATTTACATTCAGATGGAGATTTAGTCTGTCGGCTGTCCCCTGCTGTTACTGGTGCAGTAATGTAGGGAGACATGGCTGGCTGCCCGGTCCACTTACACACACACACCTGGGGAAAACTGCTCAATCCCACTGACTCTCCTATATGCCTGTCAAACTGCTCTCTCTCTGTCACACACTCTCTAGCTCTCGTTAGTTCTCGCCTTTTACAAACAAGTTAATCGTCTTATCACAGAGCTGTGAGTGCAGTAATAAGCTTCACCATGCTGTGATCTAGAATGGGATTACATATTGAGCAGCATATGTATATAAAGTAGGCACGTGTGCTTACCTAGTAATACATTTTCAGGGGCTTCTTCCCAAAAAACTGAAGGAGCGGTGGGTGACAGATAAAACAAGGGTAATTCTGTGGACACACAATGTAGGTGTAGCTGTGCAGTCATTCACTAGATATTCGCATCAGGTGAGTCATCTATTAGTAATAGAAACACAGATCATAAGAAAGTGTTGAGAGAAAAATTTTAATAAATGTTAATATTCATATTATTATTTTAGAATCTGCTTTCATCAATTTACCAACTAATACAGTTTGTAACTGCAAAGAAAAGATAATATTAGTGACACGATGAAACTTCACAGACAGTTAAAACCGCATCATCTTCCATTTTGGTCAGAAACGACTAAGAACAGATTAATGGTCCGTGCTGTTGCACTGGTAAAAATTCTCCTGCCTGCAGACATGAATGCAGAAGGTGTAGGTTTTTGAATCAGTCGCACATATGCTGTCCTGCTGCCTTAATACTCATTAGAGAACCAGACTGCCGGCTGAAAAGCCCCCAACAAAAGCATCATTTATTCCTGTTTCAGGAGTCTTTGATAAAACCTGCAGTGCAAAGCTTAGTGAGAATTTTTCAAACCTTTAAAAAATTTTAATTTTATATTTGTGACAAGCTCTATATGCCTTTGGAGAAATACACATTTATAGACTATTTCTATTTATGCCCTAGGTGTACCTGTGTGGGAACAATGGAGAAGCAAAACGGGATGTGGCAGAGATGGCCACCAAACTAGGCCTCACTGTTGTGGACAAAGGGTCCCTGTCAGCTGCTAAAGAGGTGGAGGACTTTCCTCTGCAGCTGTTCCCAGAGTGGAGGATGCCTTTGTACGTGGCTTTCGGCCTCTCTGCCTTCTTTTTCTTGTATTTGGTCATTAGAGATATCATCTATGCATATGTGGAAAATGATGAAGATATCTCCTACCGCATAATGATATCTCTGGCCAACAAGGTAAAGATATGCTCCTCTTTGTTTAGTTGCTCGTAAAACGGTATTTTACATTTCTCATTGTGTTTTTATTTTCCATGTGTCAGATCACTCCAGTTGTGTCCCTCATTATGCTGTCGCTCTGCTACCTCCCTGGAGCTATAGCTGGGTTCCTTCAGCTCTACAGAGGGACCAAGTACAGGTCAGGCATCAAACATAAACATTTTCATTCCTGGTACAATGTAAAAAAAAAAAAAAGGGCATGATTTTTGCAGCGTAAAGTGCCTAACTCATTTTCCTATGTTCCAGGCGTTTCCCCAATTGGCTAGATCGCTGGATGCTGTGCAGGAAACAGTTGGGTCTTCTTGCACTAGGCTTTGCATTGCTCCATGCTATCTACACATTAATCATTCCTGCCCGCTACTCTGACAGACAAAGAGTCATCTCCAATGTGTTGAATGAGGTAAAGTGCAGCAGGCTGGTGCAAACTGATTGGAGTGTTTCTGCAATCCTGCACAAAGAAAAATATTAAATAAAGCTTATATGTACATGTAGAACATTCACTGCAATAACAGTCCCTCCACTTTTCTCTCTTCCTTGTAGGTGAAGAAAAATACTACCACTCCACTTTACTTTGACAATACCAGCGCATGGCGCACTGACTCATTATATGCACTGGGAATCCTGGGCTTCTTTCTTTTTGTCCTGCTGGGGTTAACATCCTTGCCCTCTGTTGGAGGCACTCTCAGCTGGAGAGAGTTCAGCTTTGTTCAGGTCAGTGCAGATAAAAATGCACAGTCCTTCACATGTATGTGCTGTGTGTGAATGTGCATTTTCTCATGCACACCTTTAAATTCTCATGCTTTATCAGTCACGTGTTTCATATCAGTAAAGGCATATTTTAGAGCCTTCTAGATAATCTACATTTAGAACTTCTTAGATTTTTATCAGTTATTAAAGTGTTGTAAAAGCAATATAGCAATATGTCACTGGCACTTGTCTCCCTAGAGCCTAGTTAACTAGCCGCCTAACACAGGCACACAGAGAGACTTTAGCCAAGGATTTTAAATGTTAAGTTATTCATTAAATAGAATTATGATACCTGGTATAATCCTCCAGTGAGAAGATTTTTAATACAGGTCACAGGCCCATTTGTGTAAAGGTCAGGTCCATAGATAGACCTCAGACAGCGAATGGTACTCAGAGATGGAGGTGAAAGTCAAACTAATTCTTATGATCTAGTGAGGAGAGTTATGAAATAAGACATGAAATAACAATAATATGCTTACATAAGCTTACTTTTTGCTTCTAGTTGTGATCACTGTTGTCAACATGGGAATATAAAGCCCTGAATACAAGCAAATATCCAAAAATGCTAGGACACTGTGTAATATGATATTTGCTCTCCACTGGTTTAATAAGGTGCAAGTAGGTGCAAGATCCCTTATCGTCATCACACAGGGGCACAGTTTATTACTGCGCCATAGCAATAGCACTGTTTGCTTTCTCTGCTGTTTGCCCTTATTGCAAATGCTAAAACATGGAAATGGAGGCACATTATGCACTAGGTTGTTTTTTTATTATGTCTGCGTCTGTGCATGTCAGTCTTAAATTCAGCATAAAGCATTTCCAAGGATAGTTTGGTAATTTGGGAGATAGCTCATTCTCATTCTCTTTCTTCCACAGAGTTAGATGAGACAGTTGATACCATTAGTTTGTCTGTGTGGTAAATTTGCTCGTACCAGCCTAGAGTTGACTTATCCTAGCTTAGAGTAGCATGACAAAAGGAGAAAGAAAATACTGTCACAACAAAACTGAGCGCCTCTAAACCTCACCAGTTAATTTGCTTTTTTAAAAAAACCTTCTACCTTTGGACAAAGGTTCCACACATTTTCAGTATTTTTGCTAAGCTAAGCTAAACCCATATTTTTTACTTGTGTTTGATTAACTTTTGCTTTTATGCTCTGTAAGTTTATTTTAAAGCACTTTGTGATGTTGATAACAAAATGCTTGAAATAAAATTTTTATTACCTACTTAATAAACTCAACACTAGTTTCATGTTTATTTAACAGATAACAGAAAGCTTATCGTCTTCTTGTTGAACTCTTTTGTATTTAATCTTTAATTTTTACCATTGTGTGTGTGTGTGTGTGTTTCTTTTTCCCCACAGTCGACGCTGGGCTACCTGACTCTTTTTCTCTCCACTGCACATTGCTACATTTATGCCTGGGATAAATTCCTTCGCAAATCTACGTATAAATGGTACACTCCTCCGGACTCCATGCTCTGTCTAATTGTTCCTTCGGTAACACTGGTGCTCAAGCTGGTCCTCGTCCTCCCCTGCGTGAACCGTCCGCTCATGCGCATTCGCCAAGGCTGGGAACGCAACCGGTTAAAGGATGAGATGGGTGAACTCAAAGCCACTAACATGTGATCCCGGGTTGCTCAATGTTTCAATGACATGTTATATTATTTTTCATTTGTAGACAATCATAAAGTAGGGAAAATGAAATAGCATAACAATCGTTTCGATTTTGCACAAAGTAAAGAAAAAGAAAGACCAGTGGTTCCAGTGGTGAGTTATTGTCTGATCCTGCCTGTTCCTGACTTTACTCAGAGAAAAGTTAGGTTTATGCCAAATTGACATGCTTCTGTTGATATAAATATTTTTAATGTGTATTTTCTTTTTGAGTGAAACCCCCCCACACATTTCAGATGTTTGTGTTGTATCTTTTTCACCAAATGTGCTGAAAAATAGATTGCTATCCCCCTGTTGAAATCCACTGTTTTGATAAACATAGGCAATAGTTTCTGTATTCCACTCTCCTTTCCCTTCAAGTGGAGCAATTGTATCCCTGAGGTTGCTCTCTTTTCAGGATGTTATTGATCTCCCTGCTTTCTGACACAAATATCTCACTACCCGTACCTGCCTCCGTCTCAAGAGCACACCAGAGTGCACACTAAGACACACATGCTTATGATGCACATACACAGCATGAAGGTGAGTAAGTTAATTGGATTTCTGCATGCAGATTATATGAAAAAACAAAATAAAAAAAATGAAGCACTTAACTTGGGGGCGGAACAACAGATTTTGTAGTCAAAAGCAGATTCACAAACACCTTTACTACCATAGGTCTAGTGCAGTGTTACAGTCACCAGCAAATTTACCCGGCTGAAGCAGGTAGGTAGTAATAAAACATGCAGGCTGCCCTCAAAATACCCACTACTACCGAGGAATTGCTGAGAAAGCAGATCCAGTTAGATTTGAACAGATGATGAGCAGAAATGGGAAACTCAATAGTGATGGCTGATGAACAGGTGCAGGATGGTTAGAAGAGGTTGGTATGCACATCCCTAATGATACAGAGACAGTAAAAGGAAAGAAGAAGATGGAGTAGCTGTCGCCATGACAGATTCTGGTGCTATATAAAGAAAACGCAGTGCCTCTCGCCTAAAGCAGAACATTTAGGCAGAGACATCCTGTTATCTAGCATCTAACAGCATTATCTGCATACACAATCTGTAATCCCTTACATCCTCTCCTATTGTATTAGCCTCCTGTTACCAATGAACCGATTTTACCAAACTGCCTGCTGTTCGTGTGCATTGGTGTGTGCGTGTGTTGGTGTGTGAGTTATTCCATTATTCCAGTATTGCCTCTGGAAAGAATTAAGATGTAGCAACATGCAGAGCAGAATAGCTGTGAAACAAGCTAACTTACATAATTCATTTCCTCTCATCTTTAATTTTACACACCTAGACGGCCCTGAAACCTATAATAACTTGATATGTGTCTAGCCTTGAAGGCTTAAACCTGTGTGAGTGTAAATAATCTGCAGAAATTGTGGGTTAATACAGAGATCACTGACATTCAAGCTCCACCTGTGAAATGTACAACTAGATATTAAATGAAAGGTGTATAACAAAATAGCATGGGAACTTCAGAAATGTAAATTATGTATCCCAGAATTGTGACAGAATAAAATGCATTTAATTAAGAAATTATGGTTTATTTATGAGAGCTTTTCTGCAAAGGATTTTGTTTTTATTATTCATTAGGTCCTTTTTTCTTCATTAAAACCACTTCGGAAAATGACAAATTCTGCAAAATTGGACATCCACAGACATTCAGCCGTCATTATATTTTAGTTACTATTCACATACAGAAATTAGATATTTGAAATTGTGCGCACAGGAGTGTGCAATACCAACACTTTTAACTTTAACTCACAGAAGACGATAATTTGACTGAGCCGATACTTACAGATAAATCATGAGGTTTGCCTTTGACTTGTACAGCCACAGTTCCAAAAACATTGGGACTGTAAAATGAGATCAAACAACGTAATGACCCATATTTTATTCACAATGGAACAACAGGTCAGTAAATTAAAAGAGCATCTTAGAGAGGCAGAGTTAGTAAAGTAAGTAACATTTATTTATATAGCGCTTTTTGAAACTGGAACTTTTTTCAAAGTGCTTCACATGGGAATAAAAGCATATCAAACGAAACAATAAAAATGATATAAAACAGGTATGAAAGCATATCAATCGATACAATAAAACACTACAGGGAGTGCAGAATTATTAGGCAAATGAGTATTTTGTCCACATCATCCTCTTCATGCATGTTGTCTTACTCCAAGCTGTATAGGCTCGAAAGCCTACTACCAATTAAGCATATTAGGTGATGTGCATCTCTGTAATGAGAAGGGGTGTGGTCTAATGACATCAACACCCTATATCAGGTGTGCATAATTATTAGGCAACTTCCTTTCCTTTGCCAAAATGGGTCAAAAGAAGGACTTGACAGGCTCAGAAAAGTCAAAAATAGTGAGATATCTTGCAGAGGGATGCAGCAGTCTCAAAATTGCAAAGCTTCTGAAGCGTGATCATCGAACAATCAAGCGTTTCATTCAAAATAGTCAACAGGGTCGCAAGAAGCGTGTGGAAAAACCAAGGCGCAAAATAACTGCCCATGAACTGAGAAAAGTCAAGCGTGCAGCTGCCAAGATGCCACTTGCCACCAGTTTGGCCATATTTCAGAGCTGCAACATCACTGGAGTGCCCAAAAGCACAAGGTGTGCAATACTCAGAGACATGGCCAAAGTAAGAAAGGCTGAAAGACGACCACCACTGAACAAGACACACAAGCTGAAACGTCAAGACTGGGCCAAGAAATATCTCAAGACTGGTTTTTCTAAGGTTTTATGGACTGATGTAATGAGAGTGAGTCTTGATGGGCCAGATGGATGGGCCCGTGGCTGGATTGGTAAAGGGCAGAGCGCTCCAGTCAGACTCAGACGCCAGCAAGGTGGAGGTGGAGTACTGGTTTGGGCTGGTATCATCAAAGATGAGCTTGTGGGGCCTTTCCGGGTTGAGGATGGAGTCAAGTTCAACTCCCAGTCCTACTGCCAGTTTCTGGAAGACACCTTCTTCAAGCAGTGGTACAGGAAGAAGTCTGCATCCTTCAAGAAAACATGATTTTCATGCAGGACAATGCTCCATCACACGCGTCCAAGTACTCCACAGCGTGGCTGGCAAGAAAGGGTATAAAAGAAGAAAAACTAATGACATGGCCACCTTGTTCACCTGATCTGAACCCCATTGAGAACCTGTGGTCCATCATCAAATGTGAGATTTACAAGGAGGGAAAACAGTACACCTCTCTGAACAGTGTCTGGGAGGCTGTGGTTGCTGCTGCACGCAATGTTGATGGTGAACAGATCAAAACACTGACAGAATCCATGGATGGCAGGCTTTTGAGTGTCCTTGCAAAGAAAGGTGGCTATATTGGTCGCTGATTTGTTTTTGTTTTGTTTTTGAATGTCAGAAATGTATATTTGTGAATGTGGAGATGTTATATTGGTTTCACTGGTAAAAATAAATAATTGAAATGGGTATATATTTGTTTTTTGTTAAGTTGCCTAATAATTATGCACAGTAGTCACCTGCACACACAGATATCCCCCTAAAATAGCTAAAACTAAAAACAAACTAAAAATTACTTCCAAAAACATTCAGCTTTGATATTAATGAGTTTTTTGGGTTCATTGAGAACATGGTTGTTGTTCAATAATAAAATTATTCCTCAAAAATACAACTTGCCTAATAATTCTGCACTCCCTATATAAATAGGGTATAGTAGCACATCCAATAAAACAGCTTGCTACACATGAATATTACCTAAATGCCTGTCTAAACTAATGTGTTTTGAGCTGTTTTTTAAAAGTAGCTACAGAGTTGATGGTGCGTAGTGGGCGAGGTAAACTGTTCCATAATATTGGAGTCAAGGCTTGAAAAGCGCGATCCCCCTTCGTTTTCAAACGGGTCCGTGGAATGGTTAGAAGACAACTATCAGTTCATCTAAGGATCCGGTTTGGAGAGTAGGGTTGGAGAAGCTCTGATATAATTGGGAGCCTCACCTTGTAGGGACATGAATGTAAAAGTGAGGATTTTAAACTGATATCTATACTCAACCGGAAGCGAGTGCAAGTATTTTAACACAGGGGTGATATGGGAAAATTTATGACTGTGGGATAAAAGCCTTGCTGTGGCATTTTGGACCACTTGGAGGCGATTGAGGGAAGCCTTAGACAGACAAGAAAAGAGTGCGTTACAGTAATCTAAATGAGAGGAGATGAAAGCATGGACAAGCATCTCCTATTCGCCTTTGGATACAATAGTCTTGAGTTTGGCAATGTTTCTTAGATGAAAAAAACAGGAGCGGGTCAAGGACTTGATATGAGCATCAAAAGACAGAGATTGATCAAAAATGACCCCAAGTTTCTGAGCGGTAGCTTTTATTGACGATGAAAAAGGACCCAGACGTGGACTAATTTGGGACTTGATGCTCTCTGGGGCAAAAATTAAACACTCTTGGCGGGGCCTGGTGCCTGTTGCTTGGTCAGGCCTCTTCCGGGGCAAAAGGGGCCCTCAGGCCTCCGGGCCTGCGGCTCAGCTCACTCTGGCACAGCTGGCTGCTGGCAGAGCCGGCGTGCACGCCACTGCAGCCCCCTCTGGCTTCTTCTCCGTGGTTACTGGGTGACCTCTCATCTGGGGCTCTCCTCAGCTCTTTCCAGGAGGGTGGCACGGATGCCCCTCCGGTGGTCCTCCTTGGGCTCTCGCACTCTGGGGCCTCTGGGTGTCTGGACCCTGGATGATGAGCCGTGGTGATCCGTTTGGCAAAGTAAATCCACTGGGTATCCATGTTGGTCTTCAGACAACAATTCTGATGGCTACACAGCTGGGAGAAATAAGACCTAACGAGACAGGGAGAGCAAAGCCGGAACACTGACATCAGACGGGAACAGGAACCTTCAAAGTAAAACAGGAAACAAAACACACTTTACTAAGACACGGACTAGACAGAGAGAGACAGACTTGACACTGACCAAAGTCTACTAAGTAATCATCATAATCAAAACAGTA